GAAAACCAGCGGTTTTCCTCGGGTTTCTGGAGGTTGTCTAGAAAGAAGGATCCCTGGAAAGAATGGGCGAGGTACGTACCCCTGGAATTGCTTCGTTTCTGATCGGCACTGGGACCTGTCCCATGCGAGGTCTTGGCATGCCCAGGTCGCAAGGGTCGAACAGGCAGACTCCCATTGTGAAGTCGCGCCTTGAAGGAAATTCGCCAACCCCCCACTAAGGCCCCAAGAGAAGACCCTGGTAAGGACTTGTTGACGCAGAATGTCGGCAGAGTGAACAAAGTGGCTTCGGGGGTGGGTCCCTCCAATAGTGAAGGGTTCCCTCTTAAATGGAGCACCCTTCTGTTACACCAAGCAGGTTTATTCCCCCGAAGCTTTGGCCATGGTGCGCTGCGACGTTCCGGTGGCCACTTGCTCTTCCCAGACCCGCTCTGTGCTCTTGATGTTCTGCTTGTGTCCCCAGGGCGTTCCTTGCTTGGCGATTCCTGCATATGCCCAACACGAATTGGCAGAGTTGCGGGACGGTTTGCTATTGGGGTCTCTGACTGACTGCTAGGTAGGTACGAATAAGTTGGATTTCCCCCAAAAGGAAGCCTAAAGGGTTTGGGTAATTGTGTTTGTTCTCGCAGATCCCCTATTCAGCACCCAGACTTTCGCGTTGGTTTGTCCTGGGGTCGGATTTGGAAGCCAATCCCTGAGGATGGGCGGCAGCATGGCACGGGCAAGTACCTCAATGCCTCAAATCAGGCGCCATGAGCTGAGCAGGTTTCAGGTGACCCTTGTCTGGCTGATGAAAGTGAGGGCGGGAATGAGAGGTTGAGAACTTCTGAGATACCAGACCCCTTCGCCGTTCATGGGTGGCATGTCCGCATATGGGAAAAAGAAGCGTACGGACACATGAGAGGCATCTTTCTCTGGTTGTTTGAAACAGGGGAGTGTCAGCCTACCACCTACAAGACGCGCATCCTCCAATCCACCCGGGGGGTGGGCCCGGGAGTCATCTTCCAGGATTGCTTCTGAAACATACCAAGCTGTTGGTGGTGGTGCGGACCCCCCCCCCCCACGTGAGACTGTGCAAGTCGGAACAAGAAAAAGGGCCGGAACTGGAGAAATGCGGCGCTTTTGAAGGAAGGCCCCGCAAAATGCGGATCGTTTTTCATCTTTTGGCCAGGCGGGGATTCGTTGCAGCCCCATGAACCCCCCCCCCCCCCAACAAAAAGGGGCCTCCAAAAGGGTGTTATAACCACTTTTTGTTGCCCTTTGAGAAAAGTTGGTAGGCCGGCCCAGATTTTTGTTTTCGCGGAATTGGCTTCTCCGTTTTGTTTTGGGCGAACCTCTCCATTTGTGGAAGAAAGCACGGCTCACAACTTTTGAACCTTTGGGTTGCAGACGATTTGGTTCTCGGAATCAGACCTCAAAATGCGCGTGTCCGTTTTAGGAATGGCTTTCCGTTTGCGTTTTCTCTGGAAACCAACCCCAAAAATGGGTACCCTCAAAGAGCCTCAAAGAAAGACCAGCCCAAATAAAAGCGGTCCTTGATGCTGCCAGGTGGCTCTTCTTTTGTTGCAAAGGTGTGCGTGGAACATCGGTCTCCGGGACAGCACCGCGACCGGAAGGGTGACTTGTCTGAGGCAGCCGATGAAGCCATGGAACCCCATGGGAGCCACACGAACCGGGGAAGTTCCGAACCCGTGGAACCCACCCACCGGGGAAGTTCCGAACCCGTGGAACCCACCCACCGGGGAAGTTCCAGAACCCGTGGAACCTACCAACCGGGGAAATTCCGAACCCGTGGGACGCGTAAACCCGCAGCGACGAACAGTGACAGGTGCGGTCCGGTCACTGGCAGAACGGCCAACGAGTGAAATGGCTCGGAGGCGGTCGGATCGACGGTCGGATCGACGGTCGGATCGACGGTCGGATCGACGGTGGGGCCCACGGTGGGGCCCACGGTGGGGTGCGGATTGCGGTTGCCTGGTTCTTAGGTTTCTCTTGGTTGTGAGCGGCGGCCGCCCAACTTCTTTTTCCATGTCCAATGTCCCAAGTACGGGCACCAAACAGCTGGGAAAGGTGGGTGCTGGGAACATCACCTTTTTGTGCCAGTGATTGGATTTTTGAAGGGGAATAAAGGGCACCCTTCTGGTGTTCTGCCCCAAGCTCAGGCGGGTCTCTACATTCTTGGGAAGCCGCAGGTCGGAATAGCATCATTAATCCAAGGCCTACAAGTTACTATAAGAGTAGATGGGAATTACTTAAATCTTCTTCATTGTTGCCAGGAAGGGTCCAAGAGTTTGACTGTCTCGCAACAATCTTGTAAACATCCGGGAGCAACATTCGCTGATAGATAGTTATTCTTCGATTTGGGTCCAGCTGGATGGAGTCTGGGCAGGGGGTTTGCCACATCACCCAGGATGAAGGTTCTTCTCAGCGAGTTTTCTGCTTTTCGGTCTGTAAATTATCATGCCCGCCCGATGGGGGGGGGTTGTCGTTCGGGGGGGGGTAATGATGGGGGGGGTTGTTCGGGGGTGGGGTGGGGGGGAGGGTTGATTGTTGGAGGGGCGTTGATTCTTCTGTGACTTGTTGTGACTTGCCCAGATGAAGTTCCGCGGTGGCAGGCTTCTCGAAAGCGGCTGGGTTCTGTGGCTGCGTTGGATGCCAATGCGATCCTGTCCTCCCCACATCAAATGCGAAAATGCGAAAACGGCAGTTGACATGTTGGGCATTGCGCAGTTTCCTTCATTTTTCTCCAGTGGTTTCACAAAGCTCCCTAGTGAATCACGGCACGGGGCTGAATCGCCTTGTCAACGCTCCAGGTGAACGTGAGCCAGTGACCGACGATGGCTGGCTGCCACGTTTAGGCAGATGGGACTTGGGCACTGGGGGTAGCCACCAAAGCGAAACGAGCTTTTGTCCTTTCGGTTTCCCCTTTGTCCCAGAAAGCTGAATCATGTCCCCAAAGTTGCCGCAAAAGGGAGCCTTGACACAAAAGTGCCAAGCCATATTTTTTTTAAAAAATTTTTGTTTGTCATGTCCCCAAAAGGTGAACCTTTTGTTTCTGGGTCAAGGGGCAACCGAGAACGCCATAGGAATAGACATGCTTAAAGGTACCCGTGCTCGGAACCCCCGGCCTGAGCTTGGGTTCCGCCGGTTCAGCCTCTGCGCCTCTGTGGCGCCCATTTTCGTCGCGGGCTTGGGGCTTTCGGCTGTTTTTTTTTCCCCTGCATTTGCTTAAGCATGAGTAGGGTTTTGTCTATTTCCCCTCTTGGCTTTTAAAGGGAATCTATCCACTACCGGACATAGTTTTTTTTTGGCTTTTTCGAGGCGGCTGAAGCAACCGAAGACTGAAGGTCATCCAGGAAAAAACCATCATGAGCTGGAGCGTGGTCCATGCGGCACATGTCGACTGGGAACGTGGCCGGTGCTTTACGTTTCTTACCGTTGGAACGCATGCAGAAACATCCATTGAAAGCTTGATGGAATCGGGTGATCGATTTTTTCCCCCTTTTGGGCCCCCCAGTGGCAATGGCACTGATCAGGCAATAAGGCAACAGGCATTCTTTCTTTGCTTCAACTCTCTCACACCATCCTTTGTGCTTGGGGCCTGGGGGAGGGGGGGGGGGACAAACGAACATGGCAACGTGCCGGTAGCTGAAAGGAGTGCCCAACCCAACTGTGGGGTGGTGGAATTTCGGACAGAACATCGCAGCAAGCAAGGTCAGTTTAGGGTTTAGGGTGTTGGTTTGCAAACTTCTGATTTGAGTAGCTTGGGATGCCCTCTGGTGCAAAACATGGTGCCTACTGCGAAGCTTGATTCAGTTTTCAGCCATTGTTCGTGCCAAACAAGCATCCATTTATCCTAAAAACCTTTTTTGTAAAGCACTTTGGATACGTGGAACGAGAACGGGGACGACACAGCTAACTTCGAGCCGCTCCATTAAAATATGCTACGAGCTCACGGGCGTGGGATACATGGGCGTGGCTGTGAGCTTTCGAGGAGAGCATAATTTCAACGGGAGGATTGCAGACCCCTCCCAACCACCAAAGCCATGCGCAGAACGGCACTCGCAAAGGAAGGCATATGCTCACGCCTACTCACCCGAGTCCAGAAAAGTCATCCTCAGTTGCCAGGTAAAGGAGGCCGGCATGCCATGAAAAACGAAGGCGCGTTTGAGAGCCTCGCCCAGTTTTGCGGGGCTTGGAGAGCCGGTGCCAGGCGAAGGGTGACCGGGTGACCGGGTGACGGCGAACCGAAGCCGCGAGATCGGGGGACGGAACAGATCCGGAGAAATGCCACGTAGAGAGTTGTTGGCAGCATTTCCCATGTGGCTGTGGGTCAAAACCAATGGTACCATTTTGGGGGGATGCAACCACCCATTTTAGTCTGTTTTAGTGGGATTGGAATGTTCACCGGGGGTACGGGATTTCGACCCATGGCCATGTGGCACGTGACGGCCCCCTCTGTTTCACAGTGCATGCAGCCGGGCAAAGTATCTTTCGCCGCATTGCGCATGTTCCTGCACGCTGCCTTATCCGGAGCAGCCGGGTCGCGCAGACAAGGGAGCAAAAAGTGGCAGGCAAGACGGATGAATTTTCTCTCTTTGATTAGTGGCTTAGATGTCGCATGCCGAGCTCTTGAGAGGGTTGGCGATGCGATTGGCAAGAGCTCAAAGCAAAGCCTCAAGTATTTGCTTTGAGCTCTCATTTTTTGGCATTGCTTGAAACTTTGTGTGCTGACACCGTCTGACAAATGCGGGGAACAATCAAGAGGTGTTGCTTGGATCCGCTCTCCGAAATAAGCGGCTATTTCTTTGGTGCCAGGGGGCAAGGCTGCGGCGAACAGCACAAGCGGCGTTTTTTCCCGGTCTGCATCACTTGTCGTTGCAGAAGCAGACGGCAGGACTCCTCATTTTTGCGCGTTTGCCTCAAAAAACGGCAGGGAAGATGCGCTTGGACCATAGCAGGTGAGATTCAGGGCAGGGTGGCCGAGTGTAGGACTGCTTGCCAGCTCTGGCTCAGTGGGAGCGCTCGAAGACAGCTGTTCCCATCATGACGTACGCCTATCCCAGCTATGGCGCAGACGAGACAACGTACCTCCTCGACAAGGTGCAGACAAAGGACAGATCCGAAGATGGTCACGTCGAAACCGCTGGTTCGGTGTACGGTGTACCTCGTTAGTAGGCAGCTTTGGTGGCCCTCCCACACTGGACACCTCACCAGCTGTCTTTCGCGTGCGTGTTGTTTGGGGATGCGTACCACCCTTCTCCGCGTTTGACCCACAAAGCATGCGAATGGGTTCGTGCACGTTTGACTGTAAATCCCGTGCCTGTTTGACCCCCGCCCATGGGGACCATATTGTCAAGCTGTTCGCAAACCATGGTTTTCATATCCAAATTTGAAATTCACAGAAGGGTCAGCGCTCTATCAACAAGTTGCGTGGACTTTGGGGTCCCCTCAAACGAGAACCTACATGTTTTTTTCCAAAGATCCTAAGGGGGGGCCATCCCAGCAACCGGTGGCCAAGGCCAAGGGAAGCGAACCCCACACGGCAGCCTTGGGCAGCAGATAGCCCAAAAGGCCTGATGTTCATACCATATCCTCTCCCAAAAAGGGTATACACCCCTTAAAGAAGTGGGTTGGAAACCAGGGAAGCCGAAAGGTGTGCACAAGAAGTATGTGCTTCCACCCTTGGAGTTGGGGTTCCCCATCGGTTCTGTGGGTCCCTGGGGTTTTCGTCAGGATGACTTCCATGCGAAGCGCTGGCGCTGCCTGTCGCACCCCAGCCGGGCCTTTGAGACGCTGTCACCCTACGCCATCCTGGAGGTCGGGGCGGAAGAAAAGGGAAGGGCCTTTCATGGATGTTTCGTTCTCGCTTTGGTTTCCCTTGAACGCCACCCTCCGAGATATGGTTGGTTTCTTTTGGTTGCCCGATTGAACTCGACCCCAAGATGGTTTCCCCCCTTTGAAAAAGCACCCCAAGATAAACAGTGTTTTCTTTCCCTGTCATGTTTGACCCCATATGAGTCAAACCCAGTTTATTAATAGGGGGGTGTTCCCCTGAAAAGTGGCGATTCCCTACTAATCCCAGGGACACCCCTATTAATAAACTGGGCTTGAGTAGTCCAGGGTTGTCATTCGCTCCCTGTAAGCCCACGAGTCAGATGCAGCCAGGTGGGAATCATGGCAGCCAGGGATCTGACAGAGAGGCCGGCCGCTGAATGCCCGACGTTTTCTTGGCAAGGCTTGTTGACTTCCATGTTATCCTCCCATCCACGTTGCCATGAAACCAGACTGCGGGGTCGTGGTTTGGACGATTTCCTTAGAAAGGAAGGTTTTCATGGCAACGGCAGGAGGGTAATTGGGGATTGCTTCCTTGACAGCATGGAACGGATGACAGACTTGAGATATATTTCTTGCTCGCCAACATGTAGTCTGGACCACGTTCTGCATGTCGTTGCCACCCTCGGCGCCTTTCCCAGCGCGGGCAAGTGCGTTTTTTGCAGTTGTGCCTGCTGGCGATACGGCAGCGGTTTTGGGGGCGCTTTGCCCATCGAAACAGGTAAACCGGGGTACGCCACAGATGCCTTCTGTTTGTTGGAGGGTACCCTTTTTGACCAGGGACAAATGGAAAACCGATTCGGGCCCCGCTGTTTTGACACATGCCCCCTTGGAAAACTAGTTTAAACCAGAAAAAGGAAACCTTCCTCAAGAGGAACCCTGTGAGTTGCCATGTTAGGGAGGGTACCGAGCCTCAAAACACAAAGTCACACCCCGAAACCAGCTCCGGAAGCGAACCCCGAAGAGGTCTCCAAAGGTTAGCCCCCGCAGGGAGTCGGGCTTCTTCAGCACAGATACCACGCCTGACACCCTGGAGCCTCGGCAGAGAGAGAGAGAGAGGCGTTTCTTGGTTCGGTTGGTCGGTTGGTCGGTTGGTCGGTTGGTCGGTCGGTCGGTCGGTCGGTTGGTCGGTCGGTTGGTTCGTTGGTTGGTTTGGCCAGTCAGTCGTTTGGTTGGTTGGTTGGTTGGGTGGGCGGGTTTGGTTTTGTTTGCAAGCAGCCCAAGGAGACCAAGCAGAGGCATTTCTCTGGTCAGTCAGCTTTTCGCAGTGCCACCCACGACCTCAGTCGCGCCAAGCTTTGCCATCAGTGCTGAGCTGTGGGTAGCGGCTAAGGGCCATCCTTTGATCTTAGCGTTCTTTCCACTGAAATGTTCATTCCTGGCCAGTGCTACAGTATTGTTGTGGGGGAGGGTTCCCCTACTAAAATAGACTACAGAAAAAGGGTACCCTCTACTGGAGGACCTAGTTGTTATTATTATTGTCATGTTCGTCAAAACTAATTTTGTAGGCCACCTGGCGCACTTGTGGCCGATCAATCTGAAGCAGCCCGCACTTTAAAAGTATGGCTGAGTGCGTTGAGTGCAGACATTACTTTGTATTTTGAGGTTCGCTGAATCTGGGCCAGAATCAAGCAGTCAATGAATTTATGCCTGGGTGGAAGCGACCCCCTGTTGGCTGGAAATCCGTAGGCGTCTCGGCATGGCTGCGCTTGGTAACATGTGGAGGCCCCTGCGCAATGATGCGCGTATGCTCGATGTTTGCACGGCGTTGTGGCTCCGGGTTCTGTTGCGCGTTCTGCAACGGAGGGCCTGGACTTGCCGTGCCGCCCTGTGGCGTTGCATGAGAGGTGAAGCACAACTCCAAGGGTCGAAAATGCCCTCCAAATCATAGCTGATCGGTGGGAAGCCGACTTTTCTTGGGAGGACCGACGGGTCGGGAAGAGGGTAAGAATCCCTTCTTTTTTGCCCCCTTCCGGTGCAGTGAGGAAGTTGCGAGCGTCAGCCTAAGGTGCAAGTGATCATGGATGACCGCGATCTGGAGCGGTGCATCACGCCGGTGGCCAGGGGAAAGATGCTCGTCCTGTCTTAGACGAGTCTTCGGGGAAGTGCGAGAGGATTGGCGCGAACAAAAACTGCAGGGAGGCGATCCGAAGAGCGAAAAGGCTGGATTGTGGACGTGGGAACCCAGGATTAATCACCTCTTCACCCCATATTGATCAACCCCAGTTTATTACCGGGGGGGGGGGGTGTCCCTGGGGAATGGTCACTTTTTGAGGGGAACACCCCCATATGAAGAAACTGGGGTTCATTAGTAAAATCGGTCCACATTCATCTTGCTCGTTCTCGAAGGCCATGGGAACCCCCTCCAAACCCTTGGGCGAGGCCAACGCGCGCCCCGTGTTTATGAGCTCCTGGCTTTTTGAACGGGGTCAAACCCTATCCCACCCCACCCCATCCCACCCGACCCCACCCAACCCCACCCCACTACACCACACCACACCCACAAACACGCAACCACGCAAACACGCAAACACCCCACACACAAACACACAAACGCACACATGCACAAACACACAAGCACAGAAAAGCACAAACACACAACCGCGCAAACCCGCAAGCCCACAAACGCACAATCGCACCAACACCCAAACGCGCAAACCCGCAAGCCTACAAACGCCCGAACGCACAAACGCACAACCGCACAACCGCACAACCGCACAACCGCACACACCCACACCCACACCCACACCCACACCCACACACCACACACGACACACACGACACGCACACACACACACGACACGCACACGACACGCACACGACACGCACACGACACGCACACGACACGCACACGACACGCACACGACACGCACACGACACGCACACGCACACGCACACGCCCACGCCCACGCCCACGCCCACGCCCACGCCCACGCGCACGCGCACGACACGCACACGCACACGCGCCCACGCCCACGCCCACGCCCACGCCCACGCGCACGCGCACGCGCACGCGCACGCGCACGCGCACGCGCGCCGCGCGCGCCGCACGCGCCGCCCCGCGCGCCGCGAGCGCGCACACGCACA